TGAGTTTTAAGCCACTGGGTCTGGGACTTGAGCCGTCTGTGGTCAGCCATGTGAGAGTCCAGTGATGTAACCTCCAGGCCATCTGTTGGTCCCAATGTAGGCCTTTTTAACATGCATTGAAGCTACGGAGCTGGAAATATGCTGTGTATAGGGGTGACTTCCTGGTTAAGAGGAAGAGTGTGACTTACCAAGGCATGTTCTACCAAAGTCTGTAAGACTAAAGTAGAAATCAATGTATGATGCTTTAAGTTTAATGTACTTCATATTTTGTTTTCTTTAAAAGTGACTTTGGGGAACCAGCAGTTAGCGTAATGGCTATGTCGCTGGACTCCCACATAGTCGACTGTGGTTTGTGTCCCGGACACAGCAGCTTAAAACTCATGCCGGGTGTGTGTGCGTGTGTGCCCAAGATCCCGAGAGGAGAATGGAAGAGGAGGGATTGCAGCGTGACCATCCCCCCCCGGGGGGTGATTTCTCACTTTCTGTCTCTCTGTCTGTCTCTGTTTGTCTGGCGGGCGCCCGGGCCCTATAGCAAAAACCTCTCCAAGAAAAAAAAAAAAAAAGTGACTTTGTAAGCTGGATGCTCAGTGTAGTTAAAAAACAAAAACAAAAAACCCTAGTTTCAAAAGTATGTATAGCACACAGGGTTTCTCTCACTCATGCACACCACAGTTTCCCTCTCAGTATATACGAGGTTCTTAGGATGGGACAACTACTTCACTGAACAACTGCTTGACCACGCGTGTCATTTGATCTTCCCTGCACCCCTACAGGGTCATCTATTATCTTCTCTTTTCACAAATACAGAGTCAAGGGGTCAGGGAATTTAACAAGCTATGTTCTCACTATCAATAAGTACTATCTCTTGGAGGCTAACTATGCAAACTTAAACTGCAAAGGGTCCTCCTCCACTCCATAGCAGTCTGCTCCTACTCTTGAATTCCTGCTCCTTTCTCAGTAACTGGGTTGCTCATGTTGGCCAGCTGTCCCTTGGAGAGGACTTCTGGTTGCTCAACTTATACTTGTCCTTCAGCATGTCACCATTGCTGGGAACGTCATAAAGCATTTTTACATAGAAAAACGTAGAAAAATATGCCATGACTTTCCCAATATCCTAATAATATGGGGTTATTGCTCCCACTTCTACTCCAAGGCCACCTTTGGCTAATGTTGATGAGTATTCTTTCTGGGTCAGGAACATCAAAACACTCTACAGACATCATTGTGTTCAGTCTTCACCACACACACCTTATAGAAGGTGAGGGGTGGTGAGGCATTTAAAGAAGGATTTCTATTAAAACCCTTAACTAGTTGAATTCTTCCATTTTTTTGAAGCATTTGACTTCATTTAGACAGGAGCTAACATAACTGTTTCTGGTTCTACCAGATCTGTTGTCTCAAAGTTTTTTGTAGCTTTTCCTTGGATCTTAGCTTAGGCTGCTGTAATAAAACACTGTAAACTCATTGGGTTAAACAAAAAGGGTTTATTTCTCACAGTTCTGCAGGCTGGGAATTTCAAGACGAAGACATAGGCAGATCCTGATGAAGGCTCACTTGTTGGTTTTTAGATAGTCATCTTCTTGCTCTAACTTCAGATTGCTGGCCGGGAGCTGACTCACTTTCAGGTCTCTTCTTTAAAGGGGACTAATCCCATTCCTGAGGGTTCCATACCTATGATTTAATTACTTCCCAAAGCTTCATCTCCAAATACGACATTGGTATTAAAATTTCAACATATGCAGGACCAGCAGATGGTGTAATGTTTACATTGCTGGATTCCCATATGACTAACTGTGGTTTGAGTCCCAGACCTGGAGGTCTGAAAATCACACCAGGTATGTGTGCATGCATGCTCAAAATCCATAGACAAGAATGGAGGAGAAGGGATTGTGGCATGGCCATCCTTCTGGGGAGTGATTTATCACTTTCTGTCTTTCTGCCTCTCTGTCTCTGACTCTCCAGTGAGCACACATGACCTATAGCAAAAATTACTCTCTTAAAAAAAAGTTTCAATATATGAATTTTGGGGTGGACACAAATATTCTGTCCATTGCACCTTATATCAGTTGATTTTCCCTAAGCCTAAGGAGATCATATCTTCAGTTTATTCAGGGCAGAATAATCTGCACCTTTATTTTATTTTATTTTTACATAATTAAGAACATCTCTTCCATTCTCACAAGTATCTGGTCACCTTATTCAGATCTGCCACTTCAGCTAAGGAGAAAGAGCAAGTGTTTTGCAAGGCTGTAGAGGTTATCCAGTCAGACCCATATATGAGTTTTCTTGATGGCTGAGGGCTTCACAGAGAGCTCAAAACTGAGGGATCCAGAAGAAGGTTTCAGAAGTAGGGGGAGGAAGCTAGCCAAGTGGCACCTCTGACCAGATTGTCCAGAAGAATCAAGGAGGTGGGAGCTAGAGTTCCCACACTATGTTAGCAAAATTGTCTGTATTAAAATCAGGGCTCCCAGCATGAGGTCATTCCATCTCAATATGTACATCCCCAGTGTCCTGGATTCTCCCATTCCTCCTCATCTCAATTCCTGGTTCATCACCAAAAACCTATGGACACACAAAAAAGGTTTCAGTTAGTGACTGTCAGTGCTGAGCCCTGGCAGACCAAGTAACACCTACGGGCCCAGGAAACTCCTTCTACTCCTTCACTGTTTATTGAGCATGTGCGACACATTCCACCCAGTCCTGAAGACAAGGATCAGGGGAGGAGCTTGGGCCACCTCATTGCCAAGAAATGCAAAGCTTCCTCTCCTCCAAATTGAGGATAAAGGGCAAATCTCTATAGTGGGTGCCTGGAAAAAGGAGGCAGTGAGGACAGATAGCAACCCATGCCTGACCAGGCAGCCTCAGCCTCTAGTAGAGCTAACAGCAGCTGCAGCCCAGGGAGAAAGCTAGGGCTCTCCCGTGTCTCTCTGGGACTAAGGTGTGAGCTGGGAGGGCTTGGATGAAACCTCTCTACACTGGACAACTGGATCAAACCATCACACTATCTAGAGCCATGATGCCAACATTCTGAGCAGCTTGGTGGAGACCTCCAGTGTCAGAGTCAGATTCCCAGGACTTCCCCCAGATGTGCATGTTAATAAGCTCCATGTCAATAAGAACAGAGCCAGTCTATAGCTGGACTCCTCACATCACAGGGAGGAGAAAGGATCCAGGTAGAGCTCAGAGGTCAGAGCACCAAGCAGATCCAGGGCTCATGGTTCAGCAAATTTGCTGAGGACTAAGGTCAATGCTCTCTTTTCCTTTCTGTGGAGTACTTACCCACTCCACCTTATCCCTGCCATGCATTCTAAGGAAGGAAGAGGAGGCTCAGGAGTAGGATGATTCATCAGTTTTGGGTTCCACATCTAGCTTTGATTTTTTTTTTCTTTTTTTAACTAGAGAGAGGACATGCAAGAAGGAGGGAGGGAAAAAAGAGAGAGAACACTAGTTTTGACAGTGTTGTCCTCCTCCTGCCCCACCCTCCTAATCAGCTAGGACCACAGGTGCACAGGTTGGACCAGAAAGGAGCCTGGGTCTCCCATGCAGCCTCAGCCACTGTGCAGCAGTGCCCTCCTGCTTGCACCATGTGACTGTGCCTCTAGCTTTGGATTTAACAGGTTCTTGAACTCAGGCAGTCATCCTGTCTTTGAGTTTTAATTTCATGCTATGCAAAGGCAAATAATAAATATTTATTTCCAAGGGTTTTGAGAGGATTTGATGAGATAGCAAGTGCTCACTGACAGGAATGCAGGGGCAGAGGGCGACCAAGCCCATGCTTGCAACGAGACAGGGGTTCTTGTCCCACACTCGGGAAGAATTACAGATACAGACACGGAGAGGAGATATAGCAAAGCAGGGAGTTTATTGAAGGAGACGGAAGGAAAAACAGAGCTTCTAAGAAGGAAGGGGTCCTGGAAAATGGGTTGCCAAGGAAGAACTGAGCTGAGGGGTTTTTATATTTTGGTCAGGAAGGGCTTTGCCCAGATCTGTTCTAGGTGGGGCTTGCACATGCATTCTGCTCCTGGTGGGGAGGGGCACGTGTGGGATGGGCCCAGTTATTCTCCTAATTTTGGAGTGGGTACACAGGTCCGAGATTCTGTGCCTGAAAGCTTTGGGCCATCAATTATTCAAGAACAAGATTTGCATGTCTAAGGCCAAAGGTGACTGGGAGAAGAGGAATTGTCAGGAGCCTCATAGCAGAGGCTCTCCTCTGCAGGGCAGGCAGCTCTGTCTACCTATAATGGGGTCCAACTTGGGCCTCATCACCACAGTTCTTGTTACAAAGAAATAATAGCTGATACTAATTTAACCAAAGAGTATGACCTTCTAGAGGGCTTTTAACATACCTTATTGTTTCTCCTGCCAGACCTGGCCCCAACGTGCACTCAGGTAATGTTTCGTGGAATTGAAAAAGGAAGCTAAATCTGGTTTGTTCAGTGAAGGTCTGAGATCTCTACAAATGTAAGGTCCATAAATACGGGACCATAAGAAGGGGATTGGGTGGAGCTACCCTGCCCCAAGTCTACATACCTGACTCTCCCCTTCCTGTCTTCATGATGGTTTCTTTTCTCCTTCAAAGCTATCTTTCATTTAAGTAGTTAGGATAATAACCAAACGAAATCCATTCCTGTCATTGCTTGGCCGAGGAGAGAAAGCTGTGAGGAGGACAAAGCAGGACGATTAGGGGCAGTCTGCTGGAAGGAATTGGCTTCTTCTGCTGGAGGCCTTTCTTCACTCTGCTCCTTCCCTGGTCTCCTCTGCACCACACCCCCGGCATACCACTGAGAGGGTGTCTGCCTGGGCCTCTTGGCATCCCCTGACCAGCCTGCACTGAGGCTGATGGTGGGTTGCTTGTCCACAGCATGAAGTTTCATCAGCCCTGGGCTGTGGATAAGAACAAGACGGCATGGCCCAGCAGGCTGCCTGATTTCACCCTTGCAGTGGGTCCACACCCACCATTCCATGACTTTGTTGCCCAGCCAGTGGGCCTCAGATCCGCACTAGAGAGTGTCTGCCTGGATGACTTGCTGGGCATTATCCACAGGAAGAGCTGAGCCATGTGGCCCCTCGACGTGGCTGCCCTTGGAAGCATCCTGAAAGCAGCCCTGTGGGTTCCAGAGGACTGAGAGGATCCTCTTGTACTCCCTACGGAAGTTCTGGTTCAGAAGCCCGTAGACAATGGCATTAAGACAGCTGTTGAAATAAGCCAGGAAGTAGCTAGTGACAAAGAGCCCTTCTGGGACCTGCGGTGCCATTTCTTCAGGGTTGATGGACACAGCGAGGCCGATGCAGTTCAGTGGGGCCCAGCAGATGGCAAAAATCACGAAAACCACAAACATGGTCAGGAAGCTCCGCATGTGGCTGCGCCTGAGACCCAGCTGGCTCTCCAACTTGGCCTTCCTGCGGGCACGGAGCACCAGTACCCAGATGCGCAGGTAGCAGAAGGACACGATGGCGATGGGGAGGAGGAAGTGGATGACCACCACTGCCGCCGTGTACTGGGCACTGGCCGTCTGGATGAAGGTGCAGGAGTAGATACGTGGGTCATACTCCAGGGACCCCACGAAGAAATTGGGCACCAAGGCTACCAGGGTGAGGAGCCAGACAAGGCAAAGGTAGAGAGGGGTGTGCCAGCGCCGGTAGATGCGGTGGTAGGCCACGCTGTGGCAGATAAAGCAGTAGCGGTTAATGGCAATGGCGGTGATGTTGAAGACGGAGCCAATGACGCTCAGGCCCATCACAAAGGCACTGGCCTTGCAGTGCACCTCACCCAGGGCCCAGCCATCATGGAAGATGGCCACGAGGATGAGTGGGTAGGGGTACAAGGCTACCACCAGGTCAGCTAATGCCAGACTCACCAAGAACAAATTACCTGGAACAGGAAACACAGAGTAAGAGTCAGCACAAGACCTCAGGCTTCCATTCTGTACCCTGTGCTGTCCTTCCCTGAGCTATCGTGACTCTGGCAATGGAAACCAGTTGCTTTTAAAGACACAGAACTGAACACTCAAATTGCACCTCTACTGAGCACTAGCTGGATGACAGGCAAGTGACGCAGCCTCTTGGAACCTCATTTTTGTCATTTGTAAAATGGGTATAATGGTTCCTCCCTTGTAGTATAGTTGTGAGAATTAAATAATGATGCAAAGTGCTCGAGGACACAGATGGTAACTGTTTCCATGACAAGCACAGCTCTGCATCATTGAAGATCCAGCAAGGACTTCAGAGGAGAAGAACCTAAAAGTCAGGATTGTGGACGTGCATAGCCACCACCGTCACCACCGCCATCACCGCCATCACCATCACCAGCATCCTCACCCTCACCACCACCACCACGCCTCCCCTCCTGGCTCCACTGACGGCACTCCTCTCTGACTGTCTCCTTTTGCATCTTCTCCCCACTGGTTCACAGGCTGTTTTCTAAGTGTCTTTAGGTCATTTCCTACATGTAAATGCATCTTGCAGCTGGAATGGAAGAAAGGGTTTGAGAGTGGGAACATGAATATCTAGTATTGGCACCTGCCTGGTCTGGAGCCTACACTTCCAGCTGTGTTGACAGACACCTGTGGCTACACAGGGTCCCAGGTCTGTGGAGTGGGGATGCACCGTCCACTTTTCCCATCTCTGCCCTCCCTTTGCCTGTGTGTTCATGGACTTCCTGTACTGGCTCTCTCCTCTAAATGGAGTCTTCTCCACCGTCATCAAGTTTAGCCAACCAAAGAGAACCTCAAGGAGCCATACAGCCATCAGTTAATATGTTTCAGGCATGTTCTGGGCCTGTGCCTTAAACACCATGCCACCCGCTGGCTCCCATTCTGCCACTCTTTTAGCCATGTAATTCGGACACACTACTGAACTTCGTTCCCTCTTCCCCACGCCCCCCCCTCCCACACACACACACATTCCACAAGGTTGTTTCAGTGAAACAACAATCTTCCCAACATGGGAAGATGGGCCTCCACAGGGCATGGGCTCCATTGGGCTCCTGGCCGGGCAGCAAACCAGCTCTTGGCACTTGTGAGCAGGAGAGGAGAATGTTAAGAGGGGCTTGGAGCGGGTGCCAGCTGGGCCAGCTGTTTCCCTGGGAAAGCCGAGGGAGGCTCTGCCACGTCCATGTGGCTTATCCCCTAATGACGCCCCAGAGGCTGGTGAACAGCTTGTAAGTAGCGAGGAGAACACATTCAACTCCACGTGGAAAGTGATTCAATTACTCTCTCCTATTACTCTGGCTGTTCCTAAAAGGCTGAACTCAACCAGTTCCTACTGAAGATTCATCTGCCCAGACATCCTACTGGCTCCCAGCTTTCTTGGCACGGTTCCAAATTAGGTGAATAAAATTCTTGTTTAGTCTTCCATCTGTAAGGAGCCAGGTCCTGTCTGGATGATAGTCCAGGGGAGATCCTGGTCCCCATTCATTTCTTCTCCAGACAGGTGAGAAATCAATCAGCAGGCACACGGCTCTGTTCGTCACCCTGTGCACAGGCTTCTAATGAATGTTTATGTCATAGGTCCTGGTGTGGCTCATTTCCATCTGCCTCCACCAGACAGGGTGTGTTAGTGCAGAAAAGCTTCAACAATGGGGCTTTGTTCACTAGTGTGCAATCCCCTTCCAGGATCTATACATAAAGCACATCCCTTCACACACATGCCATCACAATCCCTTGTCTCTCTGCTCTTCTCTCCTCCTTTCTGGGGAATTGCTTTCTTAAAAAGGATCTGGCAATCCTAAAAAGCACCAGGCAGTGCTGAGTGCTCTAGTCTTCATCAGATAAGAGATTTCTGGAAGGGAAAGCTATCTCTGTCCCTTGGCCCTCTTCTCTGTGCCCACTTTCCATGCTCAGAAGGGTTTGCTTGGATTTAAATTGACCCTGCTCATTAAGCTAAAGTACAGCGTAGAGATACATATTCATGGAGTCATTTACTTGACATGTATTTCTGAGCATAGACTAGGAACCACCTGTGACTATGCCAGGGACTTGGAGAAGCATGGTGAACAAGACAGACATGCCCCGTGCCCTTACAGAGCTCATGGTCTCATAGAGGAGACAACTCAACAAATGCAAACGAGGTGTGATGAGGTTTATGTTGAGGAAGTCAACGAATCATTTCTTTCCTTTTTTTCTTTTCTGAGAGATTTTTGCTATAGGGTGTGTGCACTCACCAGAGAGACAGAAAGCGAGAAATCACCCCCTAGGTGACATAGCCACGACACAATCCCTTCTCTTCCATACTCCTCTTGGAATTTTGAGCACACACACACACACCTGACGTGTGTACCTGACATGAGTCTAGCCACTGGGTCCAGGACTCGAATTGTGGTCTGCTATGTGACAATCCAGCTCCTTAACCACTACGCCACCTGCTGACCCCAAATCATTTCTAACAGGGTTAAACTTCTTCTGCCTCTCATCTGTTTCCACGTGTAATGCATTTATTGGGTGCCTAGCACACTCAGGTCAGGCACAGTGATGGATGAAAGCCTGGCCTTGCCACCAAGATGCCAATAGCATTGTCAAGGAAACAGAGACACAGCGGCCATTTACTGTGGTAAGAGCTGAGAGGGAGGCCAGAACAAGATGGCAGAAACTGTCGGGAATTTCTAAGTTGCCCTGGGGCTGGGGATAGTGTACAGGATGGGGCTGGTCAGGAAGGACAATTCACCAAGGGGCCAAACAAAATCGCCAAGGCTCTCATAACAGCACTGTCTCCATCCCAGGGTGGCTGTTCATCTCACCTGGGATTTTGTGTGGGAAAGGTTCTAAGAAATAACAACAGGGGACAGTGGCATAGTGACAAAAAAAGATGCTCTGTGGGGCTAACCAACACGGGAAGATTCCAGATGGACATTTGGAGCCCCCGGAGTATACCAGGCACGTGCATGCCCGTGGTCTGGGACTTGCTGAGCGTGGGGTAGATCGTTGTGTTGAGGGTGCTTTCTCCTCTCTGTCTTTCTCATTCATGGAAGAATGAAAGACACTTAAAGGGATGAAATAATAACACCCTCCAAATAAATGGGATGTTTTCTTATCAGTTATGTTCTGGGGATAGGCATTTGAAATCATTGAACAGATATTTTATCAAAAAGTTGATTTCCTTACAAAATACTAAAATGACACATTTAATATAAGCTCTTAAGTAGATTCCCAAATTACTTGAGGGTAGAAATTATTTTCTTACAATGTCACATGTTTGTAAAAAACCCTATGGTGCATAGATGAATTACACAAGGGCCAAACTGAAATCTAACTTTGCTTTAATTTAAAGAGGAAAGAATTTCTAAGCAAACTAATAATGAGCACAAAAATGTGACAGGAGTATTTCAGCCGCTTACAAGAGAAAGAGCACACGAAGTACCTACTTAGAAGAAAATAGCTGAGATATTATGAAACATTCTTCCATAACCATTATAAGAGGTGGCTTGGAAACCCTTATGGGTAGCATTTTATTACTTTAATTACATTTAATAATAACAAAACAACAATCAGTACAGCATCCTAAAGCTGAAGATGCGTATTTACATAAATCGACTTGTTTCTCACAAGAATCCTTAATGCTGATAGCGTGGTTTCCATTTTATAAGTAAAGAAACTGACTTCCAGATTATGTGAATAGTAAATAACCACACAGAGGGAAATCGAGAAAGAACAAGAAGAGGAGGGAACCAGGAAAAAACCCAAGGCAGTTAAAGGCAAGTGTGGAGTTTCTTGGTCACCCATGAAAGTGAGAAAGAACAGAAAACGTCCATTGAATTGAGCAGTTAGGAGGCCAACAGGGATGTCAGCAGGGGCAAATTCTGCTGAGTGTTGGAAGATAGAGTTCTTCCCTGTAGGTAGTTCTCTCAGTCAGCTTTGCCTTCAGAGGAGAGAGATGGAGTGGTACTTGAGAATGGGTATTCCTTTGCTGGGGTCTTGTAAAGGTCTCTTTCCTTCTTCTCTCTTCCTCTTAAATGAGAATGCAATGGTAGGCACTCAGGGCATGTGCACTCACCAGAGAGACAGAAAGAGAGAGATAGTGAGAGGGAAGGTGAGAAATCCCCCCCCCCCAGGGGGATGGCCAGGTCACAGTCCCTTCTTCTCTAGTCTCCTCTTGGGATTTTGGGCATGCATGCATGCCTGGTGTGATTTTCAAGATACCAGGTCTGGGACTCGAACCTCAGTTGACCCTATGGGAGTCCAGTGCCTTAACCACTATGCCATCTGCTGGTCCCTATTATACTTGTTTCTATATTATTAGTTGCATTGAAAGGACAAGAATGAAGCTCATTATGTTGGGAAAGGATCTTGATGAGATAAGATGTGGAAGTGATGGTAGGCTGGGGATGATGAAAAGGGACAGACATTCCCCCTAGATTGTAAATTCCCTAAGAACTGGCCCCTTTCTTTCCAGCTCCCTAATGGTTATTCCTTCAGCAATAAGCATTTTCCATTTTAATACCTATTGGCAGCAACCAGTACTTTCTGAGTTTTGCAGTATATCATATTAAAATACAAAATCCAACTTTGTAGGAAAAAAAGGCAGTTAAACATGAAAGTCTTTATATACCCCTGGGCTACTGAGAGCTACAAGGGAGGAATTAAAGAGGATTATGAGCTTTCCTGATTATTCAGCTAAAGACATAATTATGGGATTTCTTTAAATGTTCATTTTTGCTCAGTGGTGAGATAATGAGGTATTCACAGATGAAATGTAAAGTTGGAAAGCTCGGGAAGCATTAGGGAAGAGATCCACTGTAGCCCAGTTTGGTCTTGGGCTGATAAAAAGCACTCCAAAACCCTGCAGGCTCAGCGGGTCGAAAGATGCTTCACATCAAGTGACATCTCAGTGAGTAAGGTGGTAGGATGGAGCCTGAATGCTTCTGGATAAGAGCTGCTGCAGACTGAAGCACCTCTGGGGCCCTGGAGAATGGGTGGCTTTGCTGGAATGGACAGAGTGGATTCTGGACAGGGATCAGTATGTCTTGCAAAGAAATCCTCCATGTTTTCTTGGGCAACCCTAGTATCAAATATTTCACATCTTTCCTTATAAATCATTGAAACACCTTAGAAATGTCAAAGTGAAGCCAAAAGGTGGCATAGTGGTTAAGATGCTAGACTCCCTTGTGCCTGACCATGGTTTGAGTCCCAGAAATGGAGGCTTGAAAGTCATGCCAGGTGTGTGTGCATGCATACCCAAAAATTCCAAGAAGAGAATGGAGGAGAAGGCATTGAGGCATGGTCATCTCCCCTGGGGGTGATTTCTTGCTTTCAGTTCTCCAGTGAATGCACATACCCTACAGGAACAATCTCTTAAAAACAAACAAACAAAAACAAACAAACAAACAAACAAAAAACCAATGTGTCCACTCACTAATGCAGGTTTATTTGTTCTTTACAAGGTCTTGCTGCATTTCTCAGGCTAACTGGAGTTACAATGATCCTTCTACTTCACCCTCCCCGAGTCTCTGGGATTACAGGGTGTAGTAATGAGCACAGCCTAAAGTTGGATGGAAATAAACCTGGGCCTTCTGTGTGGTTTCACTGCAGGGCACAGCATCTGAGCAGCAAGTGCCACTGTGCCCGGGCCCCAGTCAGCTTCTGTAACACACATGAGGCACAAAAACCCATTGTCAGTCCACAGATTCTGAATGGTCCTTGGAAAGTGAGGATGGTTGTGTCTATGGAGCCAGGAATAACTGAGGCTGTGCGCTTTTCTCTACGCTGATGGAGATGGCCTGTGTTTCACAGTGTGGACACGGTTCTTTCAGTTCTCTGGCATGGGGGACTGTCAGTGTGGTGCAGGCTATGGAAGGGCATCTACGTTTTATACGCGGCTTAAACGTGGCAATGTGGGGGCAGACCAGCAAGGGAGCAGCAGTCACTACCACACGATTTGAGAGAACTGTGCTATAAGGTGGTATCCACGGAGCTGCCAAGCACACGAGAACAGTGGAATGGGCATGCCTTGTGCAGACTGTGCCTGTTGTCAGCTTCCTAGGATGACAGTGAGACTTACTTTGGGCTTTCAGGGCTCAAAGCAATTCATTTCCATGAAAACCTACTGACTGTGTGGGCAGGGCTGAGGACCTGATGTCTCCCTCCCTCATGGAATAGAATTGATTCTTTCTGTGCCACTGCTCTGCTGGACCCTTGACCATTTGCATTCTGCTTCATCAGAAGTGTATTCAGTTCCTGCTGTGTGCCTGGCTCTGTGGACTGAAATGGAGTGAAAGCCTGCTCTCACAGCTCTGTGGGAATGAATGCAGGGAGAGAGGTGAGTGCTGTGCTGAGCACAAAAGACCTCTTGGGAGTGAAGGGAGTGCTCATTCCACCATGGGGTATTGGTAATAGCATTAGGGCCAGCAAGTGACATGGAGGATAAGGGGGCTGGATCCCACATGGCAGACTGTGCAGTCCTGGACTCGGCAGCCCGAAAATCATGCCAGGCATGTGTATGTGCATGCCCACAACCCCAAGAGGAGAAGGGATTGCAGTCTGGCTAACCCTCTTGGGGGGGGTGATTTCTCACTTTCCTCTCTTTCTCACTTTCTCTGTGTCTCTCTGGTGAGCATATGCGTCCTATAGCAGAAACTAAAATAAAATAAATTTTAAAAGGAAACCCAAAACATTAACCAGGGGCAGCGAGGAAGTGGGTGTGTAAGAAGAGCAGACATCGACTAAACAGAGGAGCTGGGGGCCTGTTCAGGACGAGAGAGTGTGCGGCAGGCTGAGGTAGGTGGGAGGGGGTCCATGGGGAATCATGAAGGAGGGGTAACTCGGTGACAGTAGTAACAGCCACTGGAGGAGAGGAGGAAATGCCATCCTCCTCCTTCATTCCATAAGGTCTAACATTTTTCTTTGCAATGGTCTTCAGTTTCCCTTTCTTCTTCCCTACTCTTACTGCCCAGCTTAGTACTTTGGCTCTCGAGAACTCTGGCAGACTGTCCAGAGAGTACTCCCTCCTCCCTCCTTGATTCATTCGTACGAAGAAATTAGGACTGCAACAGGGAGAATAGATACATTTCCAATAACCAAGGTATGGAGCACATGTCGAGGTCACAGTGTGTTTCTAAGAAGACCTCAGCTTCCCTTACTTGCCTATTACAAACCAGTTCCTCTGTGGGGCAGATCCTTGTCATTCTTAACAGGATGTTCCCGAGAGCAGGGCCCATGTGGCATAAGGCTCATGTATCGCGCTTTCCCTGAGCACACCTGGCCCACGTGGGGGCCTATGGTCTGTGCTAGCTGAGACTGGGAGTGCATCATGGTGTGAGAGACACCTCTGTTGGAGGTGCCGTCTCTCTGTCTCTCTTCTCTCTCTGTCTCTCCCTCATGGAAGAAATAAATCCCTAAGTATTAATCTAGTATCTTAGCCATAATATATTCTTTGCTAATATATGAGCTTTCCCTGGAAGGGCAAGATATTAGGTCTTTGGGAAAGTCATGAGGTATTTGTTTTGAGAGATTTTTGCTATAGGGTGCATGTGCTCACCAGAAAGACCGCGAGAGACAGAGAAAGAAACTAAGAAATTACCCCATGGAGGGGTGACGATGCTGCATTCTCTTCTCCACTCTCCTCTTGGGATTTTGGGCACACCCCCACACATGTCCAGTATGAGTTTTAAGCCACTGGGTCTCAGATTCAAACCACAGTAGACTACATGTGAGTCCAATGACGTGACCATTATGCCATCTGCTGGTCCTTATGATGTATTTCTATATTTTTCTATGCAAAAATGTGTCATGACTTTCCAACAACCCAATAATATCTTTAAGAAGGTATTACAGACATTAGTCACCACTGCTGAAATGACTAAAGTCAAAAACTTTCTTCTTAATAATGTTGTTTCCCATTCAATGGCTAGAAGCTCATAGTTTCATTCTTTGTCTTTTAGATAAAAATCCTTGAGTCATGGAACCACACAAAATGTGTCATTGACCAGAAATGGTATTTCTCAGTGTTCTGAGCTCCCTTGAAAAGCATCATTTTTAAGCTATACAGTTGGTATCCTGCTGCTGTCTTTCCATTGTAATTCAGTCTAGTATTTCAGCTACCCCCCCACCTCCCCAGGTCCAAGGTAGGAAATTTACAAAGGTGAGAACAGGTCACGGAGCTCCTGTCCACACTGAAATAGTTTGCTTACTCCAATGACCTGCCAGAGCCAGAGTTCAGAGACTCCCTCTATGTGGTTTTGTTCCTTTGCAGACCTGAGCATGGAAAGATTGAAATGAAATCATTTTAATTTTTTTGTAGTTAATCCCATGAATTCCCTATCTTTAGAAAAGACCACATTATCTCAAAGCAATTTGGTTCAGCCTCAGCAGAGCCTGCAGCTTCTGCATTTATGCTCTCTTTGGTGGAATTGGGTCTTCAGATGAGCTGGAGATATTTTTTGCAGAGGTATTTTCTAAGTATTTGCTTTCATGTAGTAACCGGAAGCCTCAGCGTTTAGCAGGGGAGGAAGACAGTTGTAAAAAGTTGTAAGATTTCTGTGGCCAGATATGGACACCATCGAAAAGACATAAAAATGGAGTGCCAAGGATACTATGACCGCCCCACCACATGGGTTCCCACTGCACCAGAGCCCTGCCAAAAAATAAAAAAAAGCGGAGGCAACTACCCGGTCCCCGCTGGCACTAACTTGCCCAGAGCGTTCTGGGCAGCTGCTAGAGGCGGGTGCCCGGACCAGCGCAAGTCAGAGAGGCAGAACTCACTCTAACTTTCAGTGGAGAAAAACCTGGGGACTAAGCGCAGGAAAAGGGGAGTCCCGGATTGGGGAGAGACAAGGCAGTGAGCTGCGAGGTCAGGGCCAAGCCCAGAAGGCTGACACCAGCTCGACCACAGCGAGGTGTGTGGCGCTCACCTGTGTTCCGGAGCTTGCGGTTTGTGAGCACAGAGAGGATGACCAGGAGGTTGCCCACGACGTCCACGGCAGTGGTGACAATGAGCACGGTGGCTAGCACGGGTGCCACCCAGGGAGGCCTGGGGGTCCCGGAGGGTTTCGCGCCGCCCGCCCCCAACCAGCCCGGACGCACAGCCAGCTCGCCAGCCTCGCAGCAATTAGCGAAGGAGTCGTTGCCCGGCATCGCGGACCCTCGGGCTCTGTGCCTGATCGCTACAGGCTCACAGCGCTGAGCTGGGTGCTCCGGCCACCCCTTTCGCTGACCAGCCTGCGTGGGTCTAGAGGAGATAATTAAGCGTGGACAGGGGCGGAGAAAATACATAGGGTTGGGAGGAGGACCTGGGGTGCAGGCGTTGCAGAGGGTTGCGCGTCCCTCAGCGGCACGCTCGGGAACAGCTGGGGCAGCCCGCTCTGGCTCTGCTGCCGCGGGAGCCAGCAAGTGCTTGGCCCCTCGCAGGCCACTGAGACTTCTGGCCTCTGTCCACCAGCTTACCCATACTCCCATTCCCGAGACCCCCAGCTTCCTCCACAGCTTCCCCCAGAGAAGCTGTGCCCAGGTGTGTGGATTGGAGAAGCTTTCGGTGGTCAGGATCTGTTGCCAGACTGGCAGAGTTTGGGGCCCCCCACAGGACGGTGCAGCTCGAAAGAGAACTTAACTCCTGGGATGTGGAGACAGATCCCAGAACACAGTCAGGTGGACTGTTCTAGGCTGGCTAGCTGCAGGAAAAGACAGCCCTGCACTATTTACTATACGTTTGCTGTGTGTTGTGGGAGGCGTTGGTGATGTCTCTGTTGGGTCCTTTTTACTACATGAAGCCAGTACTTTAACAAATTTATGAGCATCTATTTAAATAATACTTAGGTATGTAGTCAACACTGGAGCTTATTATCATGTGGCTTTTGGAGGGGTTAGGATAAAAGGGTGAATGAGGCATGATTACAGGAAAGAAGAACTTGGGTGCCCTTTATTCAAAATGTTTAAACGCTTATTCTGGTAATAAACTGGTGAAACTCTTTGGAGGGCTAATTTTATGCCAAGTACTATCCTAAGCACTTTTCACACCCACTAGAATCACTAAAAGCAAAATGACTTAGAATCTTAAATTTGTTGAGGAGGTAAAGCAACAGGAACTCACACACGGCTTTTCTGAGATCGCAAAATGGTACAGCCACTTTAAAGAGCTGTTTATTAATCCTTTATATAGTGAAGTATATACTTCTCCTATGACTAGAAACCCAAATGAAAATATATCTCCATAAAAGGACTTGTAATGAGAGCCCAGAGAAGCCTTTTATAAAAAATTATTTATTTTATTTTATTTTTTTTAGGTTTTTTTTTTTTTTTTTTTTTTTTTAGGTTTTTGCCATAGGGCATGTGTCCTCATCAGCGAGAGACAGAGGGAGGAAAAGAGAGAAATCACCCCCAAGGTGATGGCCATGATGCAATCCCTTCTTCTCCATTCTCCTCGCTGGATTTTGGGCACATTTGCACATGTATCCAGTGTGATTTTCAAGCTGCCAGGTCTGAGGCTTGAACTGTAGTCAGTCATGTGGTAGTCCAGTGTCTTAGCCACCATACCACCTGCTAGGCCCCAGGGAAGTCTTGTACATGAATGCACAAACCCAGAAACCACCCAAATCTCCACTGATAGAAGAATGGATCAACAAATGATAGTATATCCATGCAATGGAATACTAGGCAGCAATACAAACTACTGACATGCATGGATTAATCTCAGAAATATTATGTTGAGCAAAAGAACCAGACACCAAAGAGCACATACTGTATGATTCCATTTACATGACGCCCCCAAACCAGAAAATTTAATCTATGGTGATAGAAATCCTAACAGTGGTTTCCCATGGGGGTGAGAGTTAACTAAAAAAGAGCATGAGATCATTTCTGGAATGTTATTTTATATATGTTATTTTACTTAAATTATACTCTTTTTCCCTGCTTCCACCCCAAAAAGAAAATGAAAAGGAGGGATACAGTGGAAAGAGATGGCTGATGATGTGGGGAGAATGGATAATGAAAGGACAAACTCTGAGAGGTGAGCCCATCCAGGGCCCAACAAAGGACATTATTGTTAGAAGAAAGCTGTTTTTGAAAAGAAGAAGCCAGTTACCAATTTGGAAGGGCTTCTAGACTCATTTGAAATGTAGGAGTTCTTTTCTGGCTTCTTTATTCTCAAGGAATTTGAGGCTATCTCATTAGCTGGAACAAACAGGAGGACAGTGTAGAAGGTTTGAAAATAGGAGATGGTATGAAATGCCATTTCAGGAGCCAGCAGGTGGCACGGTGGCTAAGGCATTAGACTCCCACATAGTCGACTGTGGTTTGAGTCCCAGACCTGGTAGCTTGAAAATCATACTGGGCTCATGTATGTGTGCCCAAGATCCCAGGAGAATGGAGAAAGGATTGCAGCATGGCCATCCTTCCAAGGGGTGATTCTCACTTCCCCTCTCACTGTCTCCCTTTCTCTGGTGAGCACATGCACCCTATGGCAAAGCAAAACAACAAAAAAGAAATGTCTTCTCACAAAGTGACAATGTTGGAACCAGCAGGTGGCATGGTGGTTAAAGGCATTGGACTCCCACATGGCTGACCATGATTCTGGTCCTGGACCTCATGGCTTCCTTTTTCACTTTCTCTCTCTCTCTTTCTGGTCAAATTGGAAAATAATATTAAGTAATGTTAAAATAAAATAATCCTTTTTAAAAAGTGACAATGTTAACTTGGGGAGCCTAGCAGATGGTTGGGAAAGGAGATGTTAAAGTCATGGTTAAGATCAGGGTCAGCTTTAGGGTCAGCTGTGGTGGCACAGAAGGTGAGCACGGCTAGAACCATGTGGGGGGCCCATGTTTGTATTACATTTTTTAAGAGGGTGCACATATGTGTGTTCTGCTGTAGGGCATGTGCATTCTCTGAAAGGCAGAGAGAGAGAAAGAGAGAAATGATGCCCAGGTGGATGGTCCTGCTTCAATCCCTTCTCCTCTATTCTTCTTTCAGAATTTTGGGCATGGACACTCACACACCCAAAGTTAGTTTTATGCTACCGGGTTCGTGACTTGATCTGTGGTTGACTATGTGGGAGTTCAGTGCCTTAACGACTATGCCTCATGCTGGCCCCAATACAATCGTATATATTTTAAAAGGTCATATCTTTAAATGAAACCAGTCAGCCTGGTCAGCAGTTGTTAATTGGCAATTTGGAGCTGCTTAGGACAGAAATGGGGAAGGCAGAGTGAACTTCAGTCAGACTTGAGATTTGCCAGAGAACGTTCAATGGTACCATGGGAAGATGGACTCTGAGTCATGAATGATGAAGAAACAAAGGGACTGATGGGCTGTGCAAAAGAGGGATGGGAGACCCTGTAAATCCAAAGAATTGTGGCCAGTGAACTAGAAATAATCAGTCATTAGGGCCAGCAGCTGGTGTAGTGGATAAGGTGCTGGACTCCCATATGGCAGATCACAGTTCAAGTCTCAAATCAGGCAGCCTGAAAATCTCATTAGGCATGTGGACGTGTATGCCCAAAATCCCAGGAGGAGAATGGAGGAGTGGTAATTGTAGCATGGCCATTCCCCACGGGGGCCATGATCTCTCACTTTCTCTCCCTGTCTCTAGTGAGTAAACATATCCTATAGCAAAAACCTAAAAAATAAATAAAGAGTAATAATCAGTTGTGGGATGGAAAGAGTGAGTTATTTGAAACTAAGATTTCTGAAGGTTGCAGATTTGGTTGATGTGAGAGCTTCCAAGGTGATTATGGAGTGAGTGGGTGGCTGGAGGAAGCTGGAGGAGAAGGTTCTTAGAGATGAGAAGGTCAAGGTACTGAGAAGTCAGGGTGTGGGAGAGAAGGAAAATATGAGTCAGGAGCCAATCTGCATGAATGAGGAGGAATGACTCAGCCATAGGAGAACAGTAAGCAGGGGGTGGGGGGTGGGGGGGGAGCCTAGCTGAACAGTGTGAGGGTCCTAAGGTCTCTTCAGGAAGAGGGGCCAGCCGTGCTTTCCCTGCCTTACTCGTGCAAGCATTAGGGAGTCTCCTTTAGCTTTCAGTGGCCATCAGAGCAATAGGTGAGTTGAACATGGTGTAAGTTTCCTCAGTCCAGACACACACTCTAAGAACACACACTGAAACCCTCCCGGACCACTGTCAAATGGGCCACCTCATGGCATTTATCAACAACTCTGTGAGGTTTGGAGGCATGAATGATCAGAAAAGAAGGAAGCAAATTTCAAGAGACAAATAGCTTGGCAGGGTTGTGGCTGAGGAGAGGCCATCTGCCTAATGGAATCCATTTCTTTTTATTGAATGTATGATGGTTTTCACTCCCCAATATGAAATATAAAAGGTATACAAAGAATATGTGCAAAATACTCTTCTCGTAATCACCTTGCAACCTGGCTGAAACAACACTTGCTCTTTTAATAACATTGTGAGCAATAATCATATCAGCCACAGCTAATATCGACTGTTCTGCATTAGACATGCACTTTCTTTCATTTAATTATCACAACGCCTCTACAAAATGGATACTATTACTGTGTACTGTGAAGAAACTGAGATTTGGAGAGGAAGAAAAAAATATCCACCTGCCCAAGGTTGCCCAGCTAGGGGCTCAGAGCTAGGACTGGAACCTGGCCCATCTGATTTCAAAATGGTACAGATTCATTCATGCATTGAGGAAGGTTAGAAATCTCTGAATTCTTTTCTACCGCATAAGAAAGATAGGGAAGGTCATCCAAGTTAGGCAGGCTGAAACCTGGGAGAAATGGAATAAGGCTGCAGGTCTCTTCCTTCATTTGTTTTTGCAAAGGTGGTTTTCATAGATTACACACAAAATAATTCAAGTCTGCCTAGCATTGTGAAGCTGCCCTACACTATCCTTCCTGAAGTGAAAGATAGTCTGGAAAGAGGGATATTCTACACAAAAAGAATAAAAACAATCGGCACTACAAAGCCCCCACCTTCTGGGCAGTCTTCCTGGCATTTCCCAGCACAAACTCCTGGCAGAAACCAATCAAGTGACCCTGGGGCCAAGCCTGGCCAGGTAGGTCAGAGCAGGCTAATTCTTTCTATGCTGGTTGCACGATCCTTTGTCTTTTCTGACTTTTTTCTTTTCCTTCAGGGAAAACAGTAAGAGTTGCTGTCCTTATTATTTCAGGTTTGAGAGTAATCTAAGAGCTGAATGATTAAACAGAAGGGCCTGACCCTTCCCTCAGAATCCACT